GGCCAGACATGGCTTATAAATCTAAACATTATCTTGGGTAAACAGTACAATAACTGGTTATGCATCAGGGGTTTTCTGCATTGAAGTAAGCAGCATGCTGACAACCACTGCAATTAGAATGTATTGATGCAAGTATTTCAGGGGATCCTGGTGTTAAAGGCCAGAATAAACCCAACTAGCATGATGGGGCATGTTCCCACTGGCATTCTTGTTGCCTCTCACCCCATACTAGAATATTTTGCTCAGTGGTATTTGTTGTATTTCTGAGTTCCAAACTACATCTTTATTAAGGCTTCCAGGAAAGCAAGAGCATTGTGCATATCCACAGGGCCTTCAGTATCGAAGCTACAGAAGAAAATTACAGATGGAAAAGACCTGTCAGGTCATCTATTCAACCTACCAGCCAATGCTGCGCTGTTCTCTGTGCTGTGCTTTTTCCTTTCTTTGTCTTCATGAAGCCAGAGGGGTTTCCACAGCATCCCTGGGGAGAGTATGACATAGCTGACTAGTTCTTGCCCTTAGGAATAACTTTGAGCCTCTGGAATAATAGAAGCATTCTATGTTTCATTTTGATGGAGAAAAGGAACTCTGAGAGAAGGTCCCTCAGTCTTAAGACTACATTATATCTCAGATGTAATTCTATATTAATGACTTCTCGTATGCAGATCATATGAGGTCAATGCTGCGTCCCACCCCACAGCTGTCTCTCTCAGTAATTATTCCTTAGACAGATTTTTGTCATCTCTCAGTAGTAAATAGTGCACAGACCCTGATCAATTGCATTTCACTTGGCAAACATTCAAAATTTGCCCTGACTAGTGTTTGAAGCATCTGTCTGACTCTCACTCCTTTTAATTGTGCCAAAGTTCTTTGGCAATTTGTGAGCTCATGTCCCAGAAATGCATAAAAAACTATAATTCCAATGTATTTTCCTTAGGTGAACTAAAACCACTCAACAAATGTTTACTAAAACCAACTGGATTTATAGATAGAGGAATCTTGACAGCTATTGATTTAATACTTACAAATGTTTTCATTCAAATCCCCTGGGCACCTACTGTTGATCAAGTGTAACTTTCTGGCATCCTGATCTCTTGCAAAGCAATGCTTCTGGCCAAATATATGAATGTTCTTTCTGACCTTGAGTATTGGGCATTAATAAACACGAACCCAAATATGTTTTTCAGAGGGGATAAAATACTTCCATAGCTATTAAAACATGCAATCCTCTGACTTTTCTTGAAGATGTCTGTGCATAGAAACTGTTCAGTTGTGTATAGTTTTAAAGCAATGCCAATACCCTTAGCATTCTGAACAGGGCTATCAGTTTCAGTTCTCAGCTGCTGGAAATTATGTTTAGCATGCAGGACTACTTTAAAGATATTAGCTATAGAGCTATGGAAGGCCATGATTAATACCACTTGGTGATCATTTGAATTGTTCTTCACACAATGAGCAAGAATTCAGAGGAAGCCTTTGTCTGACTGCCACTTTGGCTATGGGAAAAGGGAGAAATCTGAATACCAAACATGTCTTTGTTAGCAGTTGGATGTTATTTTCTTTTGTTTAGCATTTGCACAGTGCTCTATGTAATGTAGGAATATAATAAAGCTTTGCCAGCAACAGCACCAGACTTTGGGAATATGCACAGACCAATGAGACTGTGGAACGCACTTTTATCAGCAGAAGAAGCAACTTAATAGACCTATAATGGAGTTGAAGAATAGTTTTCCCTGGACTATTGGCATGTGCTTTATAGTGCTAAGCCAGAAGCTTTGCTCTTAGGTGTAATTTTGATTCTAATGTCGAACTTATAAGCACTTTTCTTTTTTACCAGTTAAATATAGTTCAAATTATTTCTCTGTTGTTCATTAGAAGTGAGAAAGTTTCATATGAATTTTTCAACCTCATATTTAATCACTTCTACCATTGCCTGCTAGAAGACAGCACACCTGGAGATTAAAATTTGGTGGTCCAGAAGGTAGAGATCAATAAGCAAAGGTGTGAGGAGAAAAGGATTTATCCAGGGAGATCCTAAGGCATCATAAGATATGACTTAGGCCTTAGCTTTCTTCCCATCTACTCTATTTGTGCTGTCACAGTATTTTTAATGAACTCCACATGTAATTTATAACCTGGGTTAGTATCAAGAACAGTGTCTTGATTACCAAACCTATCACTGATTCTGATTTTGATGTGGTGGTGTTTTTGCTGATCTGTGGCTCTAGAGGCACTTGGTGTTCTCCAATGGAAACTGGAGGAGTAACTCATTTTCTGGGCAGATGCTGCTGCATGTAACAACGCACGTTGTTGTGCACACAACACAGTGTGGGATTCAGCTTTATCCCACCGCTCCACAGTGGGACAAAGCTGAGTCTTCCAGACACCCATGGCTATGACTTTGCTTGAGTTTCTTTAGCCTGAGTGCCAGCTTAAACTGATCCTATCCCTCTTCTCATCCAGCTGTTCTATTATTTTGGCAGTTACTCAAGATTTCCTGGAATAATTGCAAATGAGTAATAATTTTTCATTTAGCTTGTATGCAGCCCTGGAATCAGTGATCATTTGCATGCTGTAATAAATATCCAGCCATGCCTTGTACATTAGTTCTGTACATTTGAATAGCAAACTTCAGGAGGAGAGGGACAGACGTAGAGTCCAATTTTTTACTATTGTTATTAGTTTAGGTTGTCATAGTTTTATAATCAACTTTATTAGCAGAAAATAATGATGTCAAAATAAATAGGCAGGTTCTGTTGGCAAGCAGGTAGCCAGGAGCTGACAAAATTGAAAAACTAAAAATCCTGCTGTAGGATCCAAACTACTGGAAGTGCATGAGGTATGTTTTTTTGCTCAGTCCAGGCTGCCCCATAAATGCTAAGCATCTCAAAGGTCATCCAAATAAAAAGTAAATGCAAACAGAGGCTTCTTTCTCCAACACAGCAGACCTCCAGCCTGCTCAAGATACAAGTGAAAGCTTGCCTGTTTTGACTATTAGTCAGTTTTACTCAGCTGCCATTTGAGAAAGTATATGAACAGCAGTCTGGGGGCTCTTTGCAGGTGACCTAGGGTGGGACACCTCTGTCAGGCTTCCAGAAATATGAGGCCCTCTTAAAAGCCACTCTTAAAACCTTTCTTGGCTAGAAACTGATAACAGTGTACAATAGGAATGATTTTCAACAAAAAAACCCAGTACCTTGCTGCCTCCCTGGTGCAGAAATTTGGCTTTATATCAGGTAGCAGTCTTCCAGGCAGTGAGTTTTATCCAGTTTTTCCTGGAGAACTTGTAATAGCTTAATTGATATGATTAGTACTAAAACCCAACTAACCAGACAAAAAATCCCATCCCAAACAAAATAACCCTCACCAAGATGAGTAGAGTCACCTCCTCTTCATGTCCAGGGAGAGCAATGAGTTCTCTGTTGCTGAACACATGATTTCCTGACATTGTCACAGCTCCTTTTTCAGTTTTCTCACATTACTAATGACTTAAATGCAAGTTGAGAAGAAAGGTAAGAACAGGACTGAAATATCATACTTTCTCCCCTAACAAAATGCCTCCTTTTTTTGACTGCTCCAGCCTATATACGTTGCTAAGATACAGAATCACAGAGTGAAGAAAAATACTCCTGAAGAATTTAAATGGCTTGAATTACCTGTAATGTTGATCAGCTTGGCAGCAGTAACTCCTAGGAGCATAGGTTAGTGAGACCAGTGTTTTTGTGTTTGCTGCTGTGAAAACCTGACAAGTGGGATTCCTTGATGCTGTCCTGCACCCTAAGGAAGGGTGCCTGGAACTTGGCAGTGAAAACAGGGTAAGCTAAGCAGGTGGGAAGGTTGTCATCCGGACTGAGGTGTGTTAGTAAGACAGCACTGGATAGCTGCTGTGCTTGCCAGACATGGGACAATTCAGCTGCAAAGGAAAGATGTTTCCTTCCAACTAGGACACATAGTTATTTTGTCTTGGACACTTGGAGACAACCTTTCAAAGTAGGAATCCATAAACCACAAAAACACTCATGTTAAAAGAATCTGGCCAAAGATGTTACATTCATGTCTGTTTGTTTTTCCTTTTACGAAATGAAACCAAATTAATTCCTTTGCTACAATCAATAGTAGACAAAATATAACTTTCTTCAGTTCAAGGCTATGAGCAGTATTGATAGATACAAAACTCTTATTTGTTATACTATACAAATTATACTATACAAATGTTCTCTAAATCCAGAAGATTAATGTAAAATGTTTGCAACAATGAAAAAAACCCCATCAAAATCTAAGGGGAAATTAGTAAGTACACATACACAGCTCACATGTGTTCCTTTAAATGTACTTTACATGTTAAAATACAGTAGTTACTTTCTGGATGAGAGCTCTCAAATTATAAAATGAATCTGTCAGTTTTTTAGACTTGGCAGGGTAAAAGGTTTTCTTGCTGTGTTCTGAGTAGGGGAAAAAGCATCACTTCAGTGGTAAAGAGCTAAATAACCACACAGTTAATGGAGGGAAAGTTTAGGAAAATAATTACATAAATTAACTTCAGACCTGATCCTGCAACCTTCAACCATGCAACGACATTCTTTGCCCAGCAGCAGACCTGAATTTACACTTTGCAGAATCACATCCTTACTGAGGTAGAGACTGCCAAATAGCTGTTAGTGAGGGAAGTGCCATGTGTGCCAATTCTAGAAACCAGGAAGGCAGTACAGTCTGCCCTATATTTCCAGGCTTTCGGTAACTTACATAACTAGGTGCAAAATAGTTATTTTTATTTCTGGTTCTTTTCTTTGGAAGTGCAGTCATGTGCAATCAGGTGGAATAAGTATGCTGATAATTTTCCTTCAGAAATTGTAATGGTTAGTGATGTGGACACTTTTCTTTTTAGGCAGAAACCATGAGGTACTGAAGCAAGCATTCACTTTTCTTGCACTTGAGGTCGCAAATTTATGCAAGTCAAAAATGTTGGGCCTGCCAAAAACATCATGCTACACTCCACCAAATAAAAGGACACTGTTATTCTTACAAGGAAAGGTTTGACAGGACAGGAAATAGGCAGGGTCATAGAAGTTTACTTAATACCAAAACTTACTTAACCATCTTTAAGCCAAAATACAATGATAGTTATTTAATAACAACAAAAATTTTTTAAAAAATAAAAGGCGAGGAGGAAGACAAATACAAGAAGGAAGACAAAATCCAAACTGTGTTATTACAGGAATAGCAACCAATACAGAAACTAGGGAACCTTAATTTACATAATTCAGGTTACTGTATATCACTCGCCCTTACTGAGTTAATGTGTATTAAGTAATTTTTAATTTATATCCTGAACTTGCAGCCAGAGGCATCCGATTTAGAAAATCCAAAGCAGAGTTTACCAGACTATACATTACTTTCATTACAGTGCAATCCTTAAGTAGACTGCATTCCACTTAAAGGAATGAAGGGAGAGTAAGAACACAGTGAATACGAAAGATAGGAAAAATGTTGCTGTTCATTACAATTTTCCATTTTTGTTGAAACGCAGCAGGAGAGAAAAGCCACAGGCTTCTCTACTGCTCTTGCATGCCAGGAGGGATTATGCAAACACTGCAACCACCCAAATCTTATTTAAATTATAGTCATTGTTCCCTCTTTAATGGTTATACTTTTGCCTGCTTTCACTCAAATATTGCATCTTGCTTTCCACCAACATAGTCCCAGTGGGAGTCATCAACTCTTAATTATAGATGAACAGATCTTTGAAAAATACCTCTGAAAAAGAAGTGGAAAAGAAAGCAGGCTTTAAGTGCCATCTAGTGGCTGATCTAGAAAACATTAAACAGATAAAAAATTCCTAACGTGCCATAGAGTAATATAACAGTAGCTGAGCTGAGGAAGCTGTGCCTAAATTCTCAACTACTAAACACCAGGTTAAAATTCTGGGGGAAAGAAAGAATTAAAGCTCAATGGTAGCAGTGGTATTACTGCCAAAATTTTTGGCTTAGGATTTTTATCCAAAAGTGGAGAGTTCAAGTGGTAGGAATTGTATAAGAATCCCATGTTTCTTCAAAACCCTCATCAGCTTATGATCCTCTGCCTTTCTAAGGACATAAAGGTTATCATAAATATTGCAGATGAAACCAAAAAATAGAACCCTCTCAGACCTCAAAATAGAACTCAAAACATGGAGATAAATCTGGGGCCAAGCATCTCAACGTTCCCCCAAATTCACCTGGGGTGGAAGGTCAGATTTTCTCTATCCCTGTAACAAGTCAAGTCAATTTCTAAAAAAAGAAGCAGATTGTTAGTCAGTAATGTCCTTTTCCTTTCCTTGCAGAAAAATTATTCTTTCAGCTATAGATAGGAATACCCAACAAATTAGTTTCATGTTTCATTTACGCAGAGGATGTTCCACAAGATTGTTCTTCAAGCTTTTCTTTTTCTTTGTAACTTCTCTTGCAGATGAGAGTAGCTGAATTAAAGAGTAGCCTTGCCTGGATCTGGTCAGTGATAGTTATCAGCCCAATGTAATTTTTAGTTAAAGTGATTCTCATTTTGTTACTTTGATTTAGACTGCATTGGTATGATGTGCTCCTTGCTTACACTGGCCTTTTGCAGTGTGTGCCTGCTCCTGATGGTCTGTCTGGGGGTACAGACACAAGTACAGTGTTGTGATGAGGGGTAAGGACCAACAGCAAAACAACTGATCAGCATATCATGCACTTAAGAGGAAAAGGCTTCTACCTTAGACAAAGATAAATCTACTCGTTTCAGCACTGCCAAGCCAGTGTAATGCCTATCCCCATGGCTGAAGGGATCTGAATGCTGTCACATTGCTCTTTATTTTCCAGCTCCTTACAGGGGCAGGCAGGATAAAATGCATAAAATGTGTAGTGCTTCAGGCCTACTTCACTAAAAACAGTCCTAGACAAGAACATGAAACTAATACTGACAGGATTACCCTGAGCTGAAACTACCAAGCAGATGAGCAGTATGAACACCAGCCTACAAAGGGCTCATCTTTCCACTGCTAAAACTTCAAGCACAGTATTTCTTAACTGTGATCTTCCAGATAAGAAAATCTTAAAGAACAGACAGCTGCAGGAAAAAAGTGTTTGAGAGCCTCAGAGCCTTTTCTAATTCTTTTATGTAAAGTGGAAAAATAGCCACTTAGAGCTGAAAAAATGGTCACTTGAAGATCAGCTAAAGATCAAAGTCAGAACTTTGGCTTTGAACATAAACACAAGTATTTGGACAGGTTATAGAGGATGCAATATTAAATATCTTTGTCTTACTCTAATTTAGGGGCGATAGTGGAAAATTCTATTGATACTGTCACTGATATGAAATAGGCTCTCAGTATGAATCCTGAGCCATATGGAAGATAGCTTTCAGAAATCTAACAAAAACTGGCAAGGGAACAATTGGCTGTTGTAGTTTAGGTGAGTAAAATAAAAAAAATCATTATTTTTCCATTTATTACAGTATAAATGCCACATAAGCAATGAGATCTTATTGCTGTGGACCAAACATCTTGAAAGAAAAAATAAGCCATCAACTAGTAAGTCAAGCCAGTCATGCATATTTCCTCATTATGCAGACAAATTCACTGGAGGATAGATAGGGAGAAGTCTCAATAAAACTTGAAATATTTTTATGTACTCCAAAAATCCTACTTCTAATTAAGATGAAAATTTAGAAACAGGACAACAACAAAAAAAAAAAAAAAAGGAAAAAGAAAAAAAAGAAAAAAAAAAAAGGAAGCACATTCAAGTAAATTTTCAATTCTTTCCAGTAGAGCCAAAGCCACCTTCACCACGTTCTGTGTCATCCAGAGTCTGAAAGACATCAATTATGATAAGCTGATTTAGTGCCTTAACTCCTTAACTTGGTTTTTGTTTCTGTACAAGAGATGTTGTCTATCATTTAGTTGTAACAAGAGCTATTATTAAGAAGCCAAAAAATGTATGTGAGACACTTTAGAATATCTTTTGTACAAGCTTAAACAAATGCTTATGAGACAACCATTTCTAGTATATACTGAACTGTTTCACAAAAACTCTGAAAACTTATCAAAAAGAAAACAAATCCATACAAGTATGTATAAAGAATCAAGACTCATTCAGGCAGCACTGCTGCTATGCAGTTTTAGCACTGAAAGTAATTTTAGCCAAGTACTTATCTATATAATAAATTTCATCTTATATACAAGTATCTTAAACTAATAATCATTGAAAAAAGCAGAAACATTTTCTTTTGGCTACTTACTTCAACTTCTTCTAGCTCAGGATAATAAATGCGTTCACAGATGAGCTGGGCAATTCTATCCCCTTTTTTAACTGCAGAGAAGTTAATTTATTATTACTTCCTTCAAAAAGGTGAACAATGAATACAGACTTTAGATGACCTCCTTTCAAGAATCCGAATACAGTAAAAATGAAAATGCTTACTTGAAACTTAGCTAAACAGATGTTAACAGACCCAGAAAAATACAAGTTAAGATAGACTTTTGTTTGGTCCTTCTAAGGTGAACGTCAGCAGCTGTATCGGCTCAAGATCTTTCCAGTCATTCCTGCTGCCATACTCTGGCATCTTAAGTCATTATGCATAAGTACTGCAGAGATGGAGAGACAGATGTATGGATAATGTAGCTCCTTTTCTGAACTAGACTCAGAAATTTGGGGGCAAAAGGGCAAACTGATAAAAGGAAAACAGGATTTCTCACTAGTAACCAATCTGGCTCACAGGATTTCCACAAACAGCTTGTGAAGATGCAGAAGAGGCCACAAAAGCACATATGTTGTAACTGGGCACTGAAACGTAAAACTGACTTTTTGCAGAAAGACAGCATAATAAAAGGAAAATCCTGTCTTTGTTTCTCGTATTTCCCAGGATTCTTGTGAAGCTTTTTCTCAAATACTGCTCAGTTAATTTTTTTTTTTTCAGGGAAAAGCACTAACTGAATACAAAGTTGCATTTCAATACAGTCTGTGAATCTAAATCTTAGCTAAGTAGAGATGTTTTGGTTTGCTTTTGTGGTGGTATGGTGGTTTTGGGGGCGGTTTTTTGCATGCTGCTTAATTTGCTATGAATAGAATCTTTTCATGTTCCCTTGACAGGACATTATTAAGTATCTATGTTTTTCTTAACTGAAAGAAGAAAAATGTTCCTAGCTAGTTCTACTTCTGCATAAACTTTTAAAGAAAAAATTAGTTTCTCATTCCCAAGTCAGATGGCTGAAAACAGACTCTGCCAGGCTTAACACTTACCTTCAAACGTCTCCTTGCCAAAGTTGAACAGTACCACACCAATATTTCCCCTGTAATCCTCATCAATAACACCAGCTGTCATGAGAATTTCCAGAGGTACCCAGTTAGTAAATATCAGTGTGTGAGATAACTAGATTAGATAAGGTTTAGATTAATAAATGATTTCAGGATCTCATAATGACATCCTTTATACTTCTGATGTACAACTAACAATATATATGCAAATACTGACACATCTAAAAATGCTAATCAGTCTTGCAAAAGGAACTAAAAAACACCATCACATGTCAAATGCTTTACCACTCTACTACTAATTTTAGTAGTAATACCCTATCTGAAATCAAGACAGCTGGACTAAATTCAGGCTCCATTTGTTCTGCTAACTTCAGCTCTTTCAGTGTCAAATAGAAATCTGTTCTTAACTCTAACATTTCATTTGAGAGCTATGGATTTGCACAGATCCAAACCCTGTATTTCTGGCAAGGTAACAGAATCAAAGCTGTAAGGAAATGATTGTCAGACAGCTATATTCAAGTACCAAGGCTATAAAACTAGCTTTCTCTTGTATTTCTGAACAGCTTCCTAATTCAGGTCCTAGTAACACTGGGAGTATCCCGAGTTTTGAAAATTTAGAAATACTTGCTAACTTACAAGTTAACTTACTGGTTAAAAACCCGGGAGAAACCAGCATATAAGAAGTAATCTTTAATGCCCAAGTCAAAAGATAACTTCTATGGCAGGCACTGCCTACAGAAGTATGATACAATTAGTATTTTAAAAAATTGGTATTTTTTTTATAATTAAGCAAGTTTTAACATAATTATGATGACCTGTTTCTCTCAGGTGTTACCCAGGCATCTCCTTTTCACAGAGTACCCAAGAAACCGTAATTTATTTGCATGTTACAAGGTGATCAATATTTACCAAGTCTTAATAAAAAAGAACAAAAAGCTTACCTCCAACATCTATGAAATGCTTTGCAGCTAAACCAGAACGTGGTGCTAGAAAATAATTTTTTTTAAAGTATTAAATTTGTTTCTTTAAAAAGACTGTATTTATAGGTTATACAGTGTGTTTGCACACTCTTGGCAATAACAATTGTTTCCAGTCTTTTCAAAATAAATATATTACAGGAATTACTGCAAGAGTTTACATATATATTAAAGAGAATAACAGCTGCAACAGACTGTTGCAATAAAATTGCAATCTTTAATTAATGGAAACATATCTTTATTTGACCTGCAATTGCAGAGTAGGTTTCTCCAACGAAAGCAACTAGAGCTGACCAAGACTGTCTTGGCTTATTTTTGGTGACTACCATTGGATCAGCATCATCTCAGAAGAATATTAGGTCAATCCATTTAAGTTAGGAAGAAAAAAAATATTTGGCAAGCAATTTCCTAAGCACTATTATACACAGATAAATTATGTGTGGGGATTTGGATTTTACTTAGCCTACTGTAATGAGGAGCTAAAAATTATATTATCTTCAAAATTTTCTTTGGGATAAGAGAAATGCATGTGTTCTTTTACATAAAAGGGCATGGCAAACTCTGATCATGTTCTTTCACTGGGGTGGCTAGTGCTTTTTTATTTTAAGAATTTATACATAATTCAGATAAAAAAATGAACAAAATAAACAGAATATCATGTACAGGTTCTCTCAACTATTCTGTCACAATATGTAATTAAATTCTACTGCACTGGTACTCTGGGTTAATTTTTAAACATCCAGGGATGCATTTTCTGTCTGTTCATTACCTATTAGTCTCTGTGACTTGAATTCTGAAACTGCAGAGAAATAATGAACTACTGCAGAGCCTATAAAGTTGTATGTAGAATACAGGCATTTTTGCTGATCATCCTTTAGTCACTTGACTAAAGAATTATCATACACCAAACCTCAAATGTATCTGACAACAGGTAACAGGAAAATCTTTACTACAAGATTTAGTAAATCACACAGTCACGTGGCATCCCTTTTTTGTGTAGACAAATCCTGAAAGCTTTAGGCAGAATCTAAATGTGAAGATGGTGTCAAACCTGTTCTAGAATGACTCTGCAGCCTTTTGACAGCTGTGTACTCACCTACTCGGCCATAGCATCCAGAAGGAAGTGCTATTTGAATGTCTGTTTTTACCACAGCCTTTTCCATCGGTGGTATCACACAGTCATAGGCGCTACATTAAAGAAAGAAACACTAGTTTATATAGAGTATTTTTTAAAGTTTCTTTACTGTAACTTAAGGTACAAAATTACCCAGAATTTATCTGCCTGGGCATTTACACCATGAAATTTAAACAACAAATATTTACAGATTTGCAAAATTTAATGAAGATCCTAAAAGACAAAGATGTTGCCATTCTGATGGTGCTAGTTTAAGATTCCAGAAGCGTCATTTGAACAGGACACTCCTGCAATTGCCAGTTTGAAATGTTTTATTAATTGGTAAGATAGACAAAAAATACAAGTGTAACTTTGAAGTAACCCTTAGGTGAATGTGGTTTTGCATTTTTTGTGCAAAACCAGAAACTTTATGAATAATACAGTCTGATTAAGTTTTCTACTTAAGCAGATCTACGAGCAGATGAACTAATTGTAATAAAAATTAATAATCTATTAAGTTAATTTTTAGGTAACAATTTCTTTTTCTAAGCAGTCTGACAGTTTGTGATTCCCATGATTCTCCTGGGAACTCTGAACTACAAAGATTTTAAGAACCTGATGAAGCTACCCAACTGGAGGCCTAATGAAAAGCAGTGGTGACAACACTTGTTATATCTTGACCCTGACAAAGAATTGTTTTTTAAATACTGGGAACCACTGAAAGGCTTTCTATAAAACAGTCTTTTTCCAGGTCTACAGTGCAACATCGGAACAAGAACAAAAACAAACCCGGTGAGATAAAAGGGATAAAAAGAGAAAAAGGGTAAAATGTGATGCAGTAAGTCTTCAGGAAAGAAGTCAGAGAGGTGAAGGAAGAAAAATGCTGGTTATTCTATGTAATACTAAAAAAGTTAAGTTAGAAGTGGTGGCAGCAAAGTTCACTCGTTCAAAACTAGTGACTTGATCACAGAAGCACTGCAAATAACCACGTCTAACTACAGGTATTCCTGCACATAGTGAAAGACATTGGATAAGGGCTATTATTAATTCAAACAATCCAAAGTTTGTACATCAACCCACGTGGTTTCCAGCTAGGAGCACTATCGAAATGCTGCAAGGGCTTTGGTAGGCAGCAACCCCGGAGCCAAGGGGAAAGCAGAAAAGCACAAGTGCTGGCAAGGAGGGCCTACGTGCACTACCATTTTTTCTTTTCAACAGGAACGCAACCTGGCCAATGGGAGCACCAACAGCAATTCTGGATGCTATGTCAAGCCTGACTTTTAGCCAACGACTGCATCCTGTGCCCGATGAAATTAATGCTGTAACGTGGCTGGACCACAGACACTCGAAAATGGTCAGGAATGGAGGAGTAAGGGAGCTACGACTAGGTCAGCTCCGGCTTCTTCTCCTGCATGGCCAGCAAGACTGTCCGAGGGCTCAGCTCGCAAGAGGCCTGAGGGTCCTCTCAGCCGCCGGAGTCCCGTGCCCAGGGCTCGTCGAGCGCGGGCTCCCGCCCCGGGTGCCGTACCCCCACCCACCCTCACCTGTACAGATCGTAGCCCGCAGCCCGCGGGGAACCCCTGGAGGGGGTGAAAGCATTCTCGGACAGCTTGGTGAAGCGGAGCCTCGCGGAGGTCTCTCCAGGACCCGAGCCCTTCTGCTTCTTGCTGGGGGACGGCTCCGGCACGGCCTCGGAGGCGGGCATGGCTGAGGGACCGGGAAAGACGCTGTGATGGACGGCCACCCGCCCGCCGAAAATCCCGCCAGAACTCGGCACGGCCCACGGGGGCGGGAGCAAGGGGGGAAACAGGCCCGTTCGCGGCCTCTCTGGGCGCGGCGCAACCCCATTCACCCCCTCAGTGAGAATGGCCTCGCCCAGCTCCTCCTGGGC